AGCGTAGGGCAAGGTGGGGACCTGGAGGAGCGTCTGCATCCTTGAGTTGTCACGTCACCTCGGGGCAGTCGGGGGCAGGAGTGCCACCGCCAGGGGCCCTCAGGATGGCCAGCAGGCATGGTGGGCTGTGGACACTGTGCTCTCCCCTCCCTGGTCTCCCCACGACCAACCAGCTCCCAGTCATGGGCCGGCGGGGGACGAGGCGGGGAACCATGATGGCCCAGCTAGTCCAGGCTGCAGGGCTGGGGCAGTGTCAGCACGTCCAGGGCAAGGCAAGTGCACACTGGGGAGCCAGCTCACCAGATCCCTGGTGGTAGCAGCCAGAGCGTGGCTAACTCAGGACACCCCAAGTTGAAAGGGCTGCCCTGCTCGTGTCCTCTGTCCTGTGGGACGTCCTGTGGGATCCCTCCTGCAACTTCTCTGTTCTGTGGCATCTCCTGTCTATTCTGTGTGTGTGTGGGGGGGGTGCGGGGGGTTCTGTTCTGTGTCCTGCGGGACCTCCTCTCTGTCCTGTGGGGCCTGCTGTTCCCCACACTCTTAAGTTTTCCTCTTTCCTTTTTTGTTGCTTGGAGCAGAATGCCCTCAGCCCTTTCCAGAGAAAGAGGTGGTGGGATGACAGCGTGTGAAACCTAGCACATCCACAATGGCTTTTTCTACCTTCTCATATTACGGTAGCTTCAATGTCCTCCCGAGGTCCGAGGCGCCGTGTCACGTGGCTCAGCCTCACGTGTTGCAGCGCAGGACTCCTTGTCCCGTCTGCTGTTGACGTTGGTCTGGGCCCTCTGTTTCCACACTGGACGCCTGTCTACCTCTGGTCTCCTCGGGGCACTTTGTCCGGCGACCACAGGTCGGGGGCTGCTCCTTAGGCCCCGGGACCTCCTGTTTGCCTGTGGAGAGCTCTCCCGTCTCCTAGAATCCCATACTTCCCACTCGTTCACTCAGCTTCTCTCTTGTTGTCTTCCATACGGCCGCCTTTTTGTTCTACTTTCAGTGTGATTTCCTCACCTTTATCTTCTTTGTCCATCTGAGTGTTTTTGCTTCTGCTCTGTCTGTCATTTCCCTGGCGTTTGTTTGTTTTCTGCACGCCCCTTCTTGGCGGTCGGTGCCCACCCTGCCTCTGCCTGGCCTCGCTGCCTGCTCAGCACCCCCCACTGGGCCCTCCCACCCCGTGCCTTACAGGGGTTTGCTGATGAAGCATTAGCAGTTTCAGGAGGGAGCAAAAGTGGATGTGTCTTAACCTGCCTTCATCACCTAAAACTAGATACACTTCAACCTAAAAGTGGGACCATCCTACAAATAAAGTTTAATGTGTTTTAACCTGAGAAATGCATGAACACTATGGGAGAATTAGAAAAGAAATAGGGTTTTATAGGAGTGAGCTCGGCTGCACTCGGCTGCCTGGGACCTGCTGTGTGCGGGGCTGTTGGCCTCCTGTGTCTGCAGGGACACGTCCTGCCAGCCGGGCTCTGCCTGCTTTAACTGTTGTGAATGTCACTATGCTACCTCTTCCACACTTTGTGACCGTTCACTCTGGACAAATTCCCCGGCTCAGGAGGGCTGGGTCCGAGCTTGTGTTTCTGAGGTTTCCACACATTTGCTGCGTGGCCCCAGTCAGCCGCCTTGGAGAAGGGCTTCCCCACCTGATGGTGAGGTTCATTGTGTCACCCATGTTTGTGTCTGGGCTTTTAAGCCGCAGTTGAACTTCTTTTCATACATTATAGGTTATTTTTATTTATTCTCTAATAAGTTGCTTATTTTTTTGCACTTGGCAAGTTTCTCTGCTGTTTGTAATAGTTTCACTATATCATGCCTACTAACCCTTGGTTATGTCACAAATATTTTCTCTGGTTTGTAATTTGTCCTTTGACTTTGCTCATGATTTAAAGGTTACAGAGCGACGGATATATTCCATCATAAGACTTTGTTCACCTTAAATATTCAAACCAACTAGAATTTCTCTTTTTCACGAAGCCAGAGTGGCTTCCTGGCCCCCCACCGGCAGCTATGGGCTCGCCAGGGCTTGCTTGTGAAAATCTCACCGTGACGTCTTTCCGCATGACTGTGTGCACAGTGTGCCCCGACCTCTGTCCTCCGCCCGCCATCCAGGATCATTAAGTCTGATCCTCGTGGTCGCAGACGCAGCCGATGGTTGTGTGTTTAGTAATAAGCCCGTCTACTTGGCATCAACACCCAGGGTCCCTGGCATTGGTCATGAAAATGAAGCGTTCCCCCCGCCATGTTCACGTGAACCAAGTGAGGTCGCCACAAGGATTTGTCTCTGAAATAAGAGCCTGGACTCGTCACACGGTGAGGGTGCAGGCAGGGCCACCATCGGTGTCCAGGCACCACCAGCCTGAATAATATTCCTGGGGTATGTTTAGCATAGTGACAAGTTTCAAAACTGAGAGTTCTGGGTCTGTTTTTCAAGGATCTTCATTTCCTTTTCCAAACAGTGAACATAGTTACAAACCTGAGCCCTCACTGCTGCGTGGTTCCTGCGATGCGTCCGAGGGGCACACAGTACTAGTGGCAGGACGAGGAGCTATGGCCGCAGCAAGGAGCCCCTCCAGCCCTGGGCTGCGTCCCACGCCTCCCCCTGTCCTCCAGTCTTACACCCGGACTCCTCAGACGTCTAACAGTGAAACCTTATCCTGTGCAGATCAAACCNAAGGCCCCCTGGGCCAGAAGACCACACTGACCTCAGCGTGCCGCGGACGGACAGGCTAGAGTGGTGGTCGGCCACAGTGTGAGCCTTCGGCAGGTCCCCTTGCCTGGAGGTGTGGTCGGACTCCACCGGTCCGTCACGCTGAGGCCTGACGGCCTGCCTCCAGCTGATGTGCAGCTGGGTTCCAGTGGAGAGGGTAGTTGGGGAGCGGGAGGTGATGTGTATAAAGTCAAGACCCCCGAGCTCTAGAGCCAGGAGGATGTGGTGAGGGCATCTCGGAGATGTGGGGAGATGGAGAAGTCAGCCTGCAGAGGCAGAAGTTAACCTGCAGCAGTTAACAACATGTCTCTCTCCAGGAAGGAGGTGCAGGACCTGGGGCTGGTCATCCTGGTGGACGCACGCGAGAGTCCAGCTGCCCCTGCCCTCTCCCAGGCCCTGACAGCTCTGCAGGTGAGTTGTGGTCACTCCCGTCCTAGACACCTGAACATCGCAGGCCGTGTGGGCTGTGAGCACAGAGCCCTCTTGGAGGGAGTGTCCCATCCCCTGGCCATCACTGCAAACCTTTGTGGCAGAGCCCCACCCAGCATCAGCCTGTGCAGGCGTTCCGGCCTCATGTTCTGTCTTAGCGGGAATGGCACTGACCCCTTCCCCTCCTAGCGTGTGCCTGTCAAACATCTGACTAAATCAGTGCAGGGGGCTTGCAGGGGCAGCCGCCGCCCACTGTGGGGATGAGGGCCCTGGACTTCTGAGAGGCCTCTGGGATGGTTTCAAGGGAGGTTGTCTGGCAGGTTCATGGTCCCCTCCAGGGAGACCCCATCCTGGATTCCAGGTCATGAGTAAAATTCAGAGGAAACTGGGGAGTCCCTGGAACTGGGCCCAAACCAGAAGGATGCCTGAGAACGTCAGCCTGCCTCAGACGTGTGTCCACAGGGCCCGTGTGTGCTGAGCGCTATGCTGGGGTCTGGGTGTTGGCTGTGAGATGTTGCCGGTACCAGCTTGAGCCGCCTGTGGTTCTCGCCGTGCTGTTATGTGCATGTCGTGTGTGGGATCAGGAACAGAGCAAGGCCAGCTTGACCAGCCGGACACTGAAGCCAGAGGGCTGCTGCGACTTTTGACCCTTTGTCATCCAATGAAAACTCAGAAATGAAGTGCCCAGCCTCGAAAGGAGTGAGCCCTTCATGGGAAGTCCACAGGCCCAGCAGCAGCGCTTCCAGCCGTGGGTGAGGCCCAGGCAGGCCCACCAGTGGCTTGGAGCTGTTCACCACCTGAGTGGACAGTCAACCCAGGACCATTTACCGTTTTCCTGTAAGAACAGCCTTCCCTAACCTTTCTTTTTGTTCAGACTCCCCTTAAATCCTGTGCCAGGCCAGTCTCACAGGGGACACTAAGCCCCAAGCAAGATGGTCCCGCCCCACCGCACATCCCCAAGGGACAAGCCGGGAACTTTAACTTGTTATGTTAGGCGAATCATCTGAGGAGCTTCCCACTGGTTTATGCAGGGAAGTCCATTTCTGTGTGACAATGCCACAGAGCAGCACCCTGACTGCCTGAGGCCCATGACCTGGCACAGGCCCCACCTGGCTGCCCCGGCTGTGGGAGCGGCAGCAAGAACTCTGGTCCAAGTGAGAGGAATTCACAGGAGCTGAAATGTGAGGGTCGTGTTTCCATTTTCAATTCCATTTCTGAGCAATATACAAAAGTAGTCATATTGCTTCATAGAGAGCAAAAATATGTAACTCCATTTCATAAATACCTGAAGTAGCTATCCTTAAATTCATTCCATTATTAAAGGTCAAGTGTAATAATAAGCTTTCCATTTTGAAAACGAAATAATTTTTCTTCCCTTTTGTGGAAGAAAATCCTAAGAATTTGCTCATCCTTAACCCACCCACAACACATAACTATTACACACTAATATGGGTAATTGTCATAAAGCATGAACTCTCTTCTCACGTATCTGAGAATTAATACTAATTTTCTTTGCAACAGAACAAATCCTAATAGTAAAAATTCACTCAAATAGGAATATATGAGAAATATAAAACAGTTTGCAGAACAATATGTTTAATGCATGATAACTCAACACTTTAGCTAAACTGAGTGAGGGGAGTAGAATACGGCTCAATAATAGGAAAACAAGAGTGGGTTTTTCCTTTGGGTTTTCCTCTGGTTTATTCATTTAGCAGATATTTATGAAATGTCATACATGAGAAGTCACTTAATTATAGCATAAAAGCAATGTGTAACCAATGACCATGGCTGTTCCCCAATAAAATTTAAAAAAAACCCAAACCTCAATAATAAGAAACAACCCGATAAAATATGGGCAGGAGATTTGAACACACTTCACCAAAGAAGATGCATGAATGGCAAATAAGCACATGAAAATATGTTCAACATCATTTAGTCATTGGAGAAATGCACCTTAAAGCCAAGATGAGATCACACAGAGATGTGACAGTCCAAGTGTGTGGGATCACTGCTGGATGTGCGAAACGGAGCAGCCAGTCGGAATGCAGATTGGCTGTTTCTGCAGAAGCTAAATGCACTTCTAGGACCCACCTTTCCCACTGCTGGATATTCACCCTAGAGAAATGAAAACTTACATTCACACAGTGTTTATAGTGGCTTTAATTATGATTGCCAGAATCCTGAAGCAACCCGTGTCCTTCGACGGGTGAGCAGGTGACACACAGGCACGTGCATGCAGCGGAATCCAGTCAGGGTGAAGAGGGGTGAACTGACCTTCACACCGTGGATGACTTTCAGAGGCTCCATGCTGCGTGAGGGCTGCCAGCACGGAGTCCGTTCACACCGTGTCTGGGAGGCACGTTTGTCAAGACAGAAAGAGAGCAGTGGCTGCCAGGGGCTGGGGATTTGACTACGAAGGAGCATGAGGAAATTTGGGAGGGTGCCCAACTGTCTTATATCTTGATTGTGGTGATGGTGACATGACTACAAGTTATACCGAAATCTAGAGAACTGCGCACTAAAAAGGCTGTATTTCATTATACTACATTACAACCAAAATACCTGATTACATTTAAAATTCTTAAGGGCAAGAATTTACATTCAGAGTAAAGGCCACTGTATTGTACCTATTCTAGTTACTTTGGGAAGTAGCTCCAGTCAGAATCAGACACTTCCATTAATGACGTTAGGAATTAGAAAGACAACTAATATCCCTTTCCCACTTTTTTCAGAGCACATCTCCCCCCGCCATTCACAGTGTTTTGCTCTTGGTGGATAAAGAATCAGCACTCAGGCCTGACAAGGACCCAGTGATTCAGGTAATAGCCAACCCTCAGCATCAGGGGTGGCTCTGCGTATGCCCAGAACTGAGTGTCAGGGCGCCAGAGGAGGTGGAACGTGGAAAGAGTTTATGGACGTTCTGGTCTCACCCACAAAGGAGCCTGGAGCCCTGTCTCTGACCCTCCGTTCTGGCAGGAGCGTGCAGCGAGAGGTCAGAACGCCGGAGGTCTGGTCTGTCTCCACACCAGTTGCTCTTTCCTTCCCTTTCTCTTTAATCTGAAAGTGTCTTTACTTTGTCTTCATTCAGTACATTTTTGCTGCATGTAGAGTTCTGGCTCGACTGTGTGTGTGTCTGTGTGTGTGTGTGTATGTGTGTGTGTGTGTGTGTACGCGTGTGTGTTTTCCCAGCTCTTCAAAGATGTTGTTCTGTTGTTGCCTCCATAGTTTCTGATGAAAAGTTCACAGTAGTTAAAGTGATTGTACACCTGTAGGAAATGCAGCATGTTTCTCTGACTGCTTTCCAGATTCCTCTTCCTTCTCAGCAAATCTGTAATGCGACTAGGCATGGTTTCTTCATAATCTATCCTGTTAGGTATTGCTGAACTTGAATTTTAAAATTTACATCTATCACCAAATTTAGAAAGTTTCCAGTCATTATTTCCTGAGATGTTTTTCTCTGCCTCTTTATTTCTTTCTAGGATTTCACTTACACATATTGACATCATCTCATTGGTCTTTGAGAATATTTTTTTTAAAATACTTTTCCTTTTCCTTTCTCAGATCAGATTGTTTCTGTTGCTCTATCTTCAAAGTCACTGACTCCATACGTTCATTTCCGTTCACCTCTTAAGCCCATTCAGTGAATTTTTTAGTTCACATATTGTGTTTCTTAGCTATAAAATTTCCAGTGGGTTTTAAATACATTTTTATATCTCTGCTGAGATTTCCTGTCCTCTCATTAATGGCAAACATTTTTCCTTTACATCATCGAGCACAGTTACAGTAGCTGTTTTAAAATGCTTGTCTAATCAGTCCAACTTCCGCGTCTTCTCTGTCCGGGTTCACCTCTGTTGATTGTCTTTTCCCTGGAGAACGCGTCGTATTTTCCTGATTCTTTATGTGTCACGTAATTCTGGATTGTCTTATGGACGTTGTGAATATCCTGCTTTCGAGACTCTGGGTTCTGTGATAAGCTTCACAGTGATGTTTCAGCATGAATTCAGCATGTTGAGACTCACAGCGAACCCTCCCCTGCGTGGGTCCAGTTCAGTTCTTTTGCCTCCAGCTGCTCAGAGTCCTCCTGGTGCGCACGTGGCATGGCCTCCAAGGTCACACCAGGAGCTCCCTTCCCTGTTTTCTCCCTGTGGGACTTGAGCTTCACTTGCCACCCTGGCTCTGTCCGCTGGTTCTTCAGGCCTGAGAGATGCCCGTTTCCTCTCAGCTTCAGCCACTCCAGTCAGTCGGCAGCCTGCCTTCAAGCCAAAGCCAGAAAAACAGATGCTCACGCCACGCGGGTCCCTTCCTCCGTTTCAGTTGCCTTCACAGGAAGCCCGGCTTTGCTCCCCCTGCAGAGCCTTCACATGGGGGTTGTCACACTTTGCTCGAGTTTACGGTTTTGTCTGAGAAGGGCTGACTCCACCGTACCAGGGGTCGTGCCTCTTTTCCCTTCTCCCCGATCGTCCAGCCCTGGCTTCGTTCCCAGTGTACCCCATTTTTTTGTCTTTCCTTAATTGGGGCCTTTCCTTCATTTCTCTTTGCTGCCCTCTCCTGTCACTTCTTCTCACCTCATTCCTGTGTCCAACCACACACAGTCCACTAATGCCACCAGCGAGGCAGCACAGCTGAAGCCAGCAGCGGCAGTTCCCGGAACGAGCCGTTACAGCAGTCTTGCCCTGTCCTTGGCAGTGTGAGGTGGTGGGTTCCCTGAAGGCCCTGCACAAGCTTGTCGACAGCTCCCAGCTGACTGCAGAGCTCGAAGGCTCCTTCCGCTACAGCCACAGTGACTGGATCTGCCTCCGCAGGGTAAGGGGTCGCTCACAGCAGCGGCAAGTGCCACTGTCACCTGGGACTCCTTATGGACATTTCTACTCCAGTCTGAAGGGCATCCCCACCCCGAGCCTCATGCCATTCACAGCCACCATTTGCAGTCTGTTTCTGATAACCGCGCTGCCCAGGCTTGAGAGTGCCCCTGAAACCCAGCCTGAGGCGGGTAGGGTGGTGCTTCTGCAGACATTCTGAGGCCCCTGGGTGACACCACGGCAGACAGGCTGACTGCCTGAGACCGGTTTACATGTGGGGACTCACAGCTGCTCACGTCGGCATCTAACAGTGTGTCTTTATCATGTCGTCCTCTTGACAGAAACTGGAGACCTTCACCGCAAACTGCCAGCATGCCATTGGTTTCCTCCAAACTTCCGTCCACTCCCTGAACGCCCACAGGCCCCTCAGCACAGCTCAGGTGGGTCCTCAGCATTTTATTTATTTATTTTTTAAAGATTTTATTGGGTAATTGGGGGAGGGGAACAGTGTTGGGGAATTGGGGAAGGGGACCAGCCAAGTTGTTGTTCTTCAGTCTTCGTTGTAGAGGGCGCCAGTTGCCATCTGGCTTCCTGTCAGCAGCTCGTGGCCTCTAAGCTCAAGGTGCTGTGTTCAATCTTAGTTGCGGGCGGGCGTAGCCACCATCCCATGTGGGAGTCGAACCGGCAACCTTGTTTTTTAGGAGCGCTCTATCCACTGAGCCATCTGGGCGGCAGCTCAGCTCAAGGTGCCGAGTTCAGTCTTAGTTGCGGGTGGGCGTAGCCCAGCATCGAACAGGCAGTCTTGTTAGGAGAACATGCTCTCACCAGCTGGGCCATCCTGCCACCTGTTGGCAGCTCAGCGACAGCTCAGCTCCAGCGCAGTGTCACTGGCCCATGTGGGAATCGAACCAGCAACCCTGTTGTTCAGAGCTTGTGCTCTTAAGCCAACTCTTAACCAACTGAGCCACTTGGCTGGCCCTCAGCATTTTATTTTGACAGGTAGGTGGGAACATACGGGTTTAGCCAAGACTTAAAAATAAATACTTGGTTGCGCCTCTTCCCTAGCAGAGATTCCCAAAGCCCTGTGGCTTATAAATCCCTTCCAGTTGGCACACACGCGACTTCCAAAGGAGCACTTCCTCCCCCTCATGACGAAAAAAACCCCAGCCTAGAAGAGAGACAGACAGCCAAGTTTGATGCTGTGCCCACGAGGTGTGAGTGATGCCAGGAGTGAGCAGTTCATACAATACAGAGACAGACTGGCTGGCGGGACTGCGACAGCATGGAGACGCCTGTGGGTGCCCAGGGTGTGCGGTGTCCAAACACTGGTTCTCCCGCTGCCGAGTTTTTAGCTTTCCTCTGTTCCTGCTCTCGAGTTTCAACCTCAGACTCCCCTCTCTGGGCTGAAGCATCTGAAAGTCCACTACCTCCCCTCCCCTAGGACCTCGTGTCAGGTGTGGACACCCCTCCTGGTGACTGCAGGGTCTGATCACACCTATCATTCCTGCTCAGCGTTAGACCTGGAGGGCACGCCTGGAGGAGGGTTCTGGGCACTGTCCTCTCACCCCCACAGGAGGTCGCAGAGTTAATCAGACAACACAAGGCCCTGATGACACGCGTCCTGGAGGACCCGCTGCTGGTCACCCTGCGCCTGGACGGTGGCACTGTGCTGGCGCGGCTGAGGAGGGAGGAGCATGGAACCAGCGAGGATGGCAGGTGAGTGTCACACCGGGGCTGTGCTGTGGTGAGCGAAGCCTGTCTCGGGCACAGGCAGCGGCTCCAAGGCCCCCGCCCCCCACCCCTCTGGTGGACATGCTGGGCTGGACCAGAGCTCGTCTCCTTCGAGGACTCGAAGGAAAAACTAGCCGAGTCCTCGAGTGCTCGAGTGGAAGTCAGAACTCACCACAGTGGGACTCAGCAGTAAGAGGTCCCTCTGTCCTGGAGTGCTGCGTCACTTCTGACACCTGTGGCCGGCGGGTGTCACTGTTACGGGCAGGTTTCTTTGCTGACCATGGGCTTCATTGTCGCCCCATTTCTGTCAGATGTGAAGAACCCAAAAAGTACAGTTGTATTTTTTAACTAGGTTGTCACCAACAGCATGTTCCTAGGGGACAGCCTGGGAACAGACCAGTGATCATGACGCAACAGCTGACAGCTGCCTTCTCTTTCCAGAGACTCCATTGAAGCTGCCTCCCGGTTGTATAACCAAGTGGACGAAGAGGTGCACAGGCTGGTCCTCACCTCCAACAGGTGTCTGCAGGAGCTGGAGACCCTACGGGAGCTGAGGACACTTCAGGAGGGAGGCGATCAGGTCAGGGGCCGTGGGGGAGGCGGCCGGGTCAGTGCTCCAGTCAGAGGAGTCAAAAAAGAAAAATATTTTAAAACTCTGACCCCTGAAATAAGCAGTGTTAACAGTATGTTACAACACAGATTTTTCACCATATATGTGCCTACAAGTGCTTTTCAAAAGCATGTACAGTTATGTGCCGCTTAACAGAAGGGACACGTTCTGACAAACGCATGGTCAGGTGATTTTGTCGTTGTGCAAACATCACTGGCACGTACACACACCTGACGGCCCAGCCCACTGCACACCTGAGCTACAGGCCTGTGCAGCGCGTCACCGCACAAAACATGGCGGGACTAAACCCAGCACAGGAGAAAAGGACGCGCTCACGAGACGGTGAGGCTGCTGCTGGCATAACCCGCACAGGGCGTCACAGCAAACTTCTCTCGGTGGAGAGTGCTCTGTAGTTAGGATAAAAAGCACAGTGAACACACACGCCAGTAACGCAGTCGTGTACTGCCATCGTCAAGCTGCGCGCACTGCACGCCACTGTATGTGCTGTTCCTTTATGCGACTGGCAGCACAGCAGGTTTGTGTCACCGCAAACACGTGAGGAGTGCGGTGAGCTAAGACGTGACCACGGCTGCGATGTCACTAGGCAACAGGATTTTTCAGCTCCGTTGTAACCGTGTGCGACCACCATCATATATGTGGTCCGTCACTGACCAAAACGTAGCTATATGGTACATGACTGTACATAATTTTAAGTAAAATCCTTTTTATTTTATCAACTACTATTTCTGTGCGTGAATAAGCATGAAGACAGAAGCCCGTGCGGCCAGAAGCGTAGGGCAAGGTGGGGACCTGGAGGAGCGTCTGCATCCTTGAGTTGTCACGTCACCTCGGGGCAGTCGGGGGCAGGAGTGCCACCGCCAGGGGCCCTCAGGATGGCCAGCAGGCATGGTGGGCTGTGGACACTGTGCTCTCCCCTCCCTGGTCTCCCCACGACCAACCAGCTCCCAGTCATGGGCCGGCGGGGGACGAGGCGGGGAACCATGATGGCCCAGCTAGTCCAGGCTGCAGGGCTGGGGCAGTGTCAGCACGTCCAGGGCAAGGCAAGTGCACACTGGGGAGCCAGCTCACCAGATCCCTGGTGGTAGCAGCCAGAGCGTGGCTAACTCAGGACACCCCAAGTTGAAAGGGCTGCCCTGCTCGTGTCCTCTGTCCTGTGGGACGTCCTGTGGGATCCCTCCTGCAACTTCTCTGTTCTGTGGCATCTCCTGTCTATTCTGTGTGTGTGTGGGGGGGGTGCGGGGGGTTCTGTTCTGTGTCCTGCGGGACCTCCTCTCTGTCCTGTGGGGCCTGCTGTTCCCCACACTCTAAGTTTTCCTCTTTACTTTTTTGTTGCTTGGAGCAGAATGCCCTCAGCCCTTTCCAGAGAAAGGGGTGGTGAGATGACAGCGTGTGAAACCTAGCACATCCACAATGGCTTTTTCCACCTTCTCATATTACGGTAGCTTCAATGTCCTCCCGAGGTCCGAGGCGCCGTGTCACGTGGCTCAGCCTCACGTGTTGCAGCGCAGGACTCCTTGTCCCGTCTGCTGTTGACGTTGGTCTGGGCCCTCTGTTTCCACACTGGACGCCTGTCTACCTCTGGTCTCCTCGGGGCACTTTGTCCGGCGACCACAGGTCGGGGGCTGCTCCTTAGGCCCCGGGACCTCCTGTTTGCCTGTGGAGAGCTCTCCCGTCTCCTAGAATCCCATACTTCCCACTCGTTCACTCAGCTTCTCTCTTGTTGTCTTCCATACGGCCGCCTTTTTG